ACAGTATTATAATTTAATTATTGTAAATACACGGGACATCGTGTTCATTTTTTTTTCTTCAAAATTGAAATTAAATTAAATCTTGCAACAGTTTAGGCTTCTTTCGGTAATTATTCAAACTGAATCACGAGTCAATCTTGTCGACAAATTCCTTACGAAATATTCATTAACCCTTTGATTACTTTTGGAGAATCACACTCGGTATGCATTTCTCTTTTCAAACATAGTCGTGATTCTCCGCTTCGAAGAAAGAAATGCACGAGTCTAACTCTTCAAAAGTAGTCAAAGGGTTGACGAATATGATTAAACGCGAATTGGTCGTTGCGTTAGTAGATTGGACACGAAATTTGTTACGCGATCGGAATGTCTTAGGACAATGGCGGTTGTCAGTAGGTAACGGTACCTCAGCCAAGTTACGCCTCGGTTCGCGTGAATTTGTTGTTAAGTCACGATTCGTGCGGCATGAACTGAATTTTGTCGCGTACTAGTTAGGTTCGATTATGTTTCCGTCTTTTTCATCCTGGAACGAGCTTGGTAACCGGCGTGGGAAGATGCTCTTATTGTTTCGATTTTAATGGACGGTACTTGAAGACGCGTTCGAGACGTGTAAATGGAATTTTGATCGTTGCTGGGAATGATTTTAGCGGTGTGGAATGTTGATCGTGATTAAGATTGATACGATCGAATTAAGCTTGCAACTGTTGCGTGTGCTATGTGGAAATTGATCTAACAAGGAAACGTATTGAACCCACATACTCTGATTTTGATGAAATTTATATGGGAGGTAGTTTAAGTATCTTTTTTATCGGAAATCGTCCATATTGAGGGAATGAAAATAGGCCTTAATGCTGAAGAAAACATATTTTTTAGAATATCTCTAGAAAGTAGAAGGTACAGGAAAAAACATTTTTTAAAAAATTGTATGTCTTTGAATGGAAAATTAAATCACATGAGGTATTTAAACAAAAAAATTATTTGTTTAAATAATACATTAAAAATTTGAATATTTTCGTTAAAATTTTCAATCGATTTTCATGCAAACTTGTGTGTATGAATTATAGACCAAAATATAAGAATTTTCTTTCGCGAAAATATGAGAAATGAAGAATATTTTTCGAAAATATGTTTAGGTTCTTCTTTTAGTAGGTTTCTACTCGATTTACATCTTTTATTCGAGTATCTTTATAACAAAGAGAATATCTTGTTTCGTCAGGCAAATATGGCTAACTTGAAACGACAGATAATTTGGCTCAGGTAATACGATATTTCAATTCGTTGAATCTATGAAGGGACAACAACTTGGTCTAATTTGATCATTATGTATCTTCTTTGTTTATTTCTTTCGCTGAAACGGCCATTAGAATACGGAACTTCAATGGCTTCACAATTTCCTCGAGCTAACCCTTCCATATTCTCTTTCTTCACTTCCTTCTTGCTCAAGTAACCAAGAAAATCAAGAATTTCAATAGCCTTGCAACATCCATGAGTTAACCCTTCCATATTTTCTCTTTATTTCACGGAAACAAATATCGAGATCCATAATTCCCCCCGTTTCTTCCTTCGCTCAAAGCAATCGACCATCCAAGTCTACAATTTCAAGTTTGATCCTTCCATATCCCTTTTTGCCACATCTTTTTTCCTCTCTAGCTATCGTAATAAGGAATTAGAATATTTGTTAACTTAAAGTTACGTCCCTTGATGCATTTTGCATGACATAGAATGACTTAATTTTAATTTAAAGTACAGCTTTGAAATAAATAACCTTAGAAGAAAATAAAAAATAAGTGACATTAGAATAAAATAACAAATAAATTACTCTAGTATAAAATACAGATACAGAATAAATGACTTAATTTAGCACAAAACTCCTTTATTCCTCATGTTGTAACTTGCTGCATCCTACCAGTATATTTCTATCACCAAATGCAAGCAAGTTACTCGGGTGACCTGTTTCAAATGCCCCACCCTGTATAAAGAGATCACTTATATACATATATTTTCCACCATAAACTAAAAAGGAGAATTTTTCGACTCAGAGTGTGTTACCAGTATACCCACGATATTTCAACCAGCAAGCACATTGAATGCAAAATCCTGCACCAGTTCTATTCCACATCTGCTCTCCAAGCCCCAAGGAAATTTCTTTGAAGGAAACAGGTCGGTGTCAAACGGTCGAACGAAACCGTAACAAATACAACCTTAGTCTCTCTCAACTATCCACCTACACACCATGGAACACAACTCGCCTACCTGACCGCCTCTCTACCTAACCTAAAAGCCGCATAATCCGAACTTTCTTGTTACCACGTTCGCATAATGGCCAGTCTCTGTGGCTAGGTATGACCCGTGGAAAGTGGAACCAGTATCGAGTCGTTGGATTCCATTGCAATTTATACGTCACATAGCTAGCACGGTCGTTTTCACTTGTCCGCCGTTATTAGATCTCCTTGCGGAAAAAAATGAATAGCGATATCACTACGAGATATCGTTGGTTCATGTTTAACCCTTTCGTTACCAGTGGGACGTATATTACGTACCACCTGAGTACTAGAACACAAATTGGTCTCAATTTAATATCCATTAGCACGATCGGTAGATAAATACAAAGTTCTTGAAAAGAGTAATTTAGGCACTAAAGGGTTAAACATCAATCTCAGATTTTTATCTCAATTTAGACGAATAAAAAATTCTTGAAAAGAATAATTTAGGTACTAAAGGGTTGACACGTTTCACGTTGTGTGTGAAGAAAAATTGATCGTAATTTAGATGAATAAGAAATTCATGGAAAGAGTAATTTAGGCACCAAAGAGGGTTAACGTGTACCATTCGTGCAACATTCATGCAAAGTATGTGCAAAGGAAGATTAAAGTGTCGAGAATTCTAGCCTACAGGTATTTTATTATAAATAAATATTTCAGTTTCTGGCGAACATTGCAACTTTAATAAATACGAGTTGGAAAGGCACCAGGAAGCGAAGGAACGCGAATTATACGGCATAAAATAGCAGAATGGTTTCAATAACATTTGCATTAGGTTTGTTGGAGATTTCTTTATTGCTAAGGAAAATTGTTGTCGATTTTCTCAATTCTTGTGCGTAGTTGTGGTATTAGATTGCCGATTCACGTGGTTAAGAAACGCAGAAACATTGCGGATACACTTGGATTTGGTCGTTCGAGGAACGAGCTTTCTCTTCCATCAATTGCTGCCTCCGCCATTCTTGCGCGACTCTAGCTCGCGAATTTTATGCCGCGCGTTCGCCTTCTAACCACGGAACCGGTGGTTCCTGTTTGCACGTATTATGGGGGAAGATTGTTTCCGAGAAGTGGTACGAAGATGCAGGAAATAGTTTAGAAGAAGGTTAAATTACTGGTTTAAGGATGCAGTGTACGTAGCACTTTCTGCCTTGTTAATTGTAATCTTTCGCTTTCTGAAGATCTCTTGTACGAGATGAGCTTTAATTTAGCGACGAGATTTACTGTATTCCTAGCGGAATATCGTAGAAAATTTCTTCATTTTTCAGATCAACTTCTGGGATTGATGTCTTCCAATGAATAATCGTGGACTCTGAATCTCTTTTTTTCCTAGTTCAAGAACATTGTAAGGAAGAAATCTTCAATGTTGACGAAAAATGGTGATTTTGAAGATTTTTATGAAATAAAAGAATTTCATTTTTCTGATTCAATTCTGGGACTGATTTTTCCCAATAAATTATCCCGCTAAATAATCCCTATTTTTCTCATTTAACGATATTTCAACGGAGAAATGTTCAATTTCGATGTTAAGATTCAATGAATAATTCCGTTTTTACTATTTAATTGTAAGAATGTTTCGCCATTGAAATGAATGAGGAAGAATGGATTTGTGAATTCTACAGAGCAACCGAGGCGAAGATGAGGAACGTAGCATCACGGGAGATTTAATCTAGGAATCAGAGGCTTCCGTTTCCACGTTTTACATAGCACGCGTCGATGTATGCGACAGCTCACTGAGCAGAACGAAAATCGCTCAGGTTCTCCGGTGAACGAAGCCGAAGGGAAGAGAGTACCGTTCGGCATCGTGCCGCTCAAACGCTCGAAATAGAAAAGAAGGAAGCATCGGGAAATATTTCGATCTTCCTGCCATACTTTCCACCCACTACGAACTCACCCAAGTAACTCATAGTAATCACTTTACCTTTCCTCAAATTTTACTTTTCATTTTAATCTCCGAAGTCTTTATTATTTCTTCAAAGTTGAGTTTTACATTTCCTTTTCGTAAATAAAAAATTCTACAATTGCTCCATTGTCGTCCATTTTGCTTTTCTTAAATTATTTCGTGGCCTCAAAATTTAAGTTTTGGTAACCTCAAGTTTTCCAGGAACATTTCTTCGCGAATTGAAAATTGCCTTTCGTGCCTTTTCACAGGAGACAAAGTCCTGAATTACAAAAGCAGCAAGCTAGACTATTTCCTAACAATTTGTCTGAGAATATCTCGATTCAATTAGCGTGCAACGAATTCCTCACAATTCTAGCATAACAGTGTCCTGATTTTGAAGTTGAGACATCAACACGGCCATTATTCCCTCGCATTACAACTTAACACCTCGAAGCAAAGGCCGAAACAAGACGTCAAACTGGACAGTGCACTTAATCATACGATCTACCCAACATCAGAAACGTCCTCTTCCTCTATCGTTCCCTTTCCAACGTCCATCAAAACGAACCATATTGCGGCCTATCAAGCCTATAGCTCGTTAAAAGCCGTTGGTCATTAGCGTCTCTCTATCGCGAGCAAACGAGGCCAAGTTGTTCGCGACACTCTAATAAACTAACCAAGAAACACCATTCGAAATGATCGATATAATTTCATCGAAATACAAACCGAATAACGTCTCGAAATGAATATCTACGGAAGATTGATTAGATCCCCCCTCCGAAAAAGGTAAGGTTACACAAGGTGGTTCCATCCTCAAGCCACAATTATATCAAGATCTTCTGTTAGTTTCATTCCTGAGAACTTACGTTTCTTTCTCCTACGTTCCACGCCGTGATCCTTGTCCTGGGTACATGTACACGGCACAGAAGGTCTCCGCGATCGAGTCGACGAAATTCACTGCACAAAACCGTACGAGCCTTTCAGGCCTAACGCAAGATGTAAAATTCGGAACACAAGTTACCCAACTACGGGACAGACTTCTAATCTCAATCGATTCGTTTATGTGAGAAACTCGTGATCACAGTTTTCTTATGGAACAGTGACGATGGAGTAGACGAATGTCCACGGTGCGAAAATGTGCGGACAAGAAAGAAAAAAAATATGATAAAAGAGAGGCGAACGGAATGGATTCAGGGTCACGGAGCTCCTTCCCTCCGGCCCACCGCTTCGAGACTGAGGAACCCGGTTCTCTCTCTCTCCAGGTGAACGGCGCGAGTTACCTGAGTAAGAGGCTTCTCTCCTCGAGAAGACACGGCGTGGTGGAGAGAGAGAAAAGGAAGCAGACGTGAACGTAGGCGCGTTGTGGAAAAGGTGGAGGTGAAGCAGGCTCTCGGGTTGACTCGTGGCGTCAACGAAGACGGCCGAGTGCTCGCTTGACTCCTTGTTTGTTTATCGCCGATGGGATTGCACAGGGTTGCGTTCACGATGCGTTTCGATGCGTTTTCGTGCTGTATCTTTTGCATCCAGCCACGAACACGCGAGCAATTCTTCGTTGTTGATTGTTCGAATGATGGAGGAATGTTGGTTTGTCGAGTGAGATCGTTGGAATGTTTTTGGGTGTTTTCGTGGTTTGGGAGAGGTTGGGATAAGTGACGGTGATCGTAAGCCTAAAATTGTGATTCATGGTTGCTGAAAATTTATGCCTGTGATTTATTGATGAAACACTGTTGGAAATGTCAAGGTTCATTTTTGTATGCGGCTATTTTTCAACGCAACTCCAATCTTATTGCACTTTCTTTAGTTTATTAGAAACGTAAGGACCTGTTTAGGTTACATAACGAATGAAAAAGATTTAATTGTTTGAACTACTTCAAGTAGCATGTTCTTTTATGTGCGATCACCGATGTGTTTTTGTTTTTCTGTAAAATTACGACCCGAGACTAATTCCTACACTCAACGAAATATAAAAATACACCAGTAGACTACATTTAAAATTTCTAAACTCCAAAAACTTAATTTTTCACTTTCAGAACTCTCAGAAATTTGAAAATTCATTTACTCCAATTAAAAAAAAAAAAAAACTATTGTACGTACACTCATCTGAAAATTCAATCAACGAATCACATTAATTAACAAAGTGGTTTTCTTCTCAGAACTCTCAGAAATCTGAAAATTCCTTCGCTTCTATTAAAAAAATAAAGATTATTGTAAATGCAATCATCTGGAAATTTAATCAACCCTACTTACCTGTCACATATTCCATACATAGGCATAAAAATTTTAAATCGTCAGACGTAGAAATCATTCGGCGATAATCAATCGAATCGTAGAGATAGAAAATTTCCCGGTAACGCTGGAGACATCGACGCTCGGGTAGGAAAGATCGCTCAGGGAGTTCGACGCATGGTCGAGCTTTTTCCTAACGAAAGTCGCGGACACACGAGCGCGAGGGTTTCGCGGAAGCGATACGGTTTCGCTGTGGACACCATGGAATCGCGATCGTCGTTGCACGTAGCCGGGAACGACGTCATAAATAGCCGGAGGCGAGCGGCTCGTGCGCAACTTTAACCCGGCCGATTAATTTCTAGCCTAACAGGATACCTGTAGCTGGTCGTTTGAAATACTGAGATCGCGAGATATATGTATACGTAGTATCTGCCAGGACTAATTGCATAACGGGTAGGCCATTTTTGAGCGACCGATAAACGACGTACAAGAGTATACATATGCATGTACGAGCTTCACAGAGAGGATTCAATGTGGGTATTTAACCCTCACAGGTCGTGTGTTGTCCCAGTTAGCAGCTCGTTACCGTTGCATTTTAGGCGGTTGAATGTGTGAAACGCCAGAATTACGACGTGAATCATGCCGTTTAACTTCTTTTCAGGAACGTTTTTGTTCAAGTTAGAAAAGTATGATCTAATTTTTTATACAGTTAGGTTCGTTCATTTGAAATCGATCAAAATTAAACTGTTCTTCTTGCTAAGAGATTATGTAACGAATACATAATTATATTTTTTCTATCACAAATATCAGAACTTTCAAAAATACTAAACATACATGTGTCAGTGTCGTTGAAGAGATTAAGACTCTTAGCACGAGATATTTGTGTAGTGTTCTCTCTGTCGCGTTTTCATTATTTATTTTTAATTTTAAATGTCGTAAAACAAATTACAGGTATTTTGTTTATTTGCTCTTCAACTTACATGGAACGAATGTTCTTCTTAGTATCCAATTTTTCAACCACTTTTCTAATCAGTTTTCCTTTTCTCTCATTCGAATATTTTCGTTATCTTTAAATGTCTGAAGTATCCAGCGTTAAAGTGTCTAGATTTGAAACTTCGCCAATTTATTCCCCCGATGATATCATATTTTGCTTTTCAATTACTCAAAGATTTCAAGTGAAAACGAGCATCCTGAGGAGGCGAAGAACCGTGACACAGACACGCCGGCCAATTTGCTTCGTCGGAGTTTTCTGGCTTGCTAGGCAGCCTAAGGACGATGGTTCCGTATTATTTATAAACAGCAGGACACGGTGATTCGCGTGCGTGTGCAACGAGCTGCCGGGTTGAACGCCTCCAGAGTGCAACAGACCCAATAAAACGGTAACTGACCAAGGCTTCAGCTCGCCACACTGTCGCAAAAGTGTCCAACACGTCCGACTTTCCGGACGATCCGCGTTAAAGTATCGAGTCTTGCCGGCGAAGCTAATTAAAATTTGAAAATGATCACGTTGAATCGCGGCCTGGTGAGCGCAAGCGAGCGTTCCTCTTGCATAACTGAACGCTTGAAAAAAAGTGTTACGCCTTCTGGAACAGCCTGCAGAACAGCTCCTTTGAACGTACCTTTAAATTTTGTGAAAACACCTAATCGACTTCTCGTCTCACAATTTCTCACTTTTAATTAATACATTTAAGAAAAGAATAGTTTTGTGTTAAACATATGGGACGACATAATATTCCTCCATTTTTTAAAATGCAATTTTAAGTTTTAGGGTTTGAATTGATTGAATAGATTTTTTCTGATTCTCAGAATCTTCGAGTATACTGAATGTTGAGTAGTGGTGCAGTTTGGTAAAAATTAGCAGAAAACGAGGTAAATTCAATGTTTCGTAATGATTGCATTATGGAGATCATTATGAAGTCTATCTCCGTGCAAAGTGACTGGAAGGTTCTTACATAAGGCTTGTAATTTCAGAAAATCCACATTGACATTGGTAAACGATACATGTAGGACACGGTGGTGTTCAAGCTACATAGTTCATTATGTTAGTCGATCGGTTTACCCTATGAAATCATACATCTATTCTTAAAATTGTAGACCTTAGTTCAAATATCTTGAAAATTTTCGTAACAACCCACTCGATGATCAATCTCCATGAAAATTCTCATTTTTAACATAAAAACCCAACGATAAACAAACAGGATATGAACCAATTGTGAGCATCTGAAGAAGGCTGACTTTTTAAGGTCCTAGATATGCTTTTTAAGATCCTAGGTATTTAATAATCTGATAGATAGAATTTCACTTGAAACGAACAAATATTGTCATTTGATCGATTTTTCTCTTAATTCACCAACTCCGTTGAATTGAAAAATCACTGCTGCCATTTCTTACAATCATTATACACCTCAAGTTTTATGCAAATATTGTAAATAACATGTTACAGGAATTTTCCCATATGATGATGTACAATATTCCTAAAACGAAGTTAAATTACCAACTTCCATCGCAGGACCTCAATTATTCCCAAGGAAAGACCTATCAACCTTCGAATAGTGTTATTAACCTCGCTGTAAAGAGAAAGACAAGCGTAGTCACGATGGATTTTCATTTTTCCTCAAACGTATGGTTCTCTCTGACTAAAAACGCGACTGGTTTCGCATCGGTGCTCTCGTTCGACCACCAAAGGCTCTCGACGTGCGACGATTACGCACTTTCCCAACTTTCTTCCATCGGTATCGACGCAGCTGCGACTTCACCTTACTTATCCAAGAGTAAAACGAGACCTTGTAAATCAGTCTCCGTTTCACATGGTTAATTTTCATGTAACCTTCCGTAGAATTAGCCGTCGTCGATGTTAAACGTTAAAACTCCGAACGATACGACGAGATTATCCACGTCCTTGTAGATTCACGAGCACAGTGAGTTTAATTGCACAAAGCTAGAAGGACAAGTCGAATCTCTATCGCGTCATCTCGCGGGAGGCTTAAATAGAAACACATGACTCACGGGCTCTGTTGCCTTTCTTCCAGGTTCTGGACGTCACCGCGAAGACATCCGGCACAAAACGGACGAGGGGATGAGAGGACTGCAGGATCATCCAGGTATTTAATTCACCTTCGTTCTCGCGGTTCGTGGAATAAGGAGGCGACCATGGCGGAAGCTATTCGTTTCCTTTCTAGATAAATAGAAAATTACATTGTTCTAATGGGAGGGAGTGCATAGTCGTAATTATTGACGTGGATTAATTGCTATCTCTGGAGGATTTGCAATTCATTGTCATATTTGAAAATTTATTGTACTATATTTAAAAAGTATAACTTCTTTTAATTCGTGCGAATACGATGCTTCAATTCGTGAGAATGCAGTTTCTTATTTTTTCGTATTTTTGCAAAGCATTTCTCTGGAATTTGGAAAATTTATAATTTATAGTAGTACATATATCATTTTTGTTTTGTAGTAAACGTCTTAAATTTACTTCAGAAAAGAAGAAATTTTCTTTTAATTCGTGCAAATTGTAGGAACTTCTGATCGAATGTGTGAGAATACAATTTTTACAAATAATTCCTCTGGAATTTGAAGAATTTTACATTTATGTTACTTTTATCGTAAAAGTTTTTTCTGTGTAAGTTTTGAAAAAAAGTGCTCAGAATATGAGTTCTTCTAAAATGCC